CATTGCTGTTGGCTCTCTACATTTAAAATTCTACCGTAAACTCTTGCTACTGTGCACATTACGCTTATCACATGGTAGTTGCTGCTGTCTCGCCTACCTCCTTCCTCGTCAATTCTCATAGTCCTTTTCTTTGACCAAAGTTGTCGTGTATTATGTTCGCCATATACCTAAGCTTTTCTGAGACACCCCCTTCCCGTATGAAAAGGAAGATAAGTTAAAAAGAGAGAAAGACGAAGGAAAGGGAAGATAAAAACATGAATGACTCCCTAGCCCTCGAAACGTAATAGCGTCGAGATCGGAAAAAACACAATGGACCGAGAGTCAATAGTGCAGACAACAGAGAGATGGATGAGGTACAAGTTGGAAGAAGCTAGTTGAAAAACTGAAATAGAAAGAACATGTCAAGAAAATAAAGGAAGAAATCAATATTAAATTTCGTCAATATAAATGGCAAATAAGAAGATATCCTTATATCCAACTTATCCTTATAAAATACAAAATAAAATAAGATACCTAAACTCATAGGGCTATATGGAATTTAATTATGGGGATGTGCGAAATACAGCAATATCAAAATAATACAAACTTACCAAAACGAAGTTCTGAGAGAAATCACAATGGTGTTAATAAAAAAAATCAATGACAACTTGGTCTTGCAGATCAGCGTCACATTAGTATTTACAGCAGTCCTCGTTGTTTAAAAGTGAAGTATTCAAAAATAGTTTAGTTTGATTTGATCAGTCTTTTGCCTGTTTTTAATAAAAAATCCTTTTGTGACATTGATTGGGTAACCTTATTTAATAGTTTCAAGTTTAACGTTAAAGAGAGCTCAATCTTGCTATAGACGGGCAAGTTAAAGTTGCAGGTTTAACCTACAAAGAAGTAATTAAAAAAATAAGGGTGCTCAACAGCAAGTACTTTCTCGCATTAGTAACGGTTACGTAATATTATAATTCAGCAGTTACGTTCTGAGAATATTAACTCAACTCAACAACATGCAAAATCATTCTAATTGTAGCACATTAGGTGTGAAAAGATAAAATATCAACTTAAGTATGACCAACCAAATCTTTTTCCATTACCAAGAAACATTGCCCATCAATGAAAGCTGTTCTGACAATTCCAAGCTGCCATTTTGCCACGCTGCCATTGACACCTCGCGACATAATATTTCGTGAATCCCTTCAAAATATAGGAGAAAAATCCTCTGATACGTGGTTTGAATCGATTTACAGCAAAGCGTCTGTCCACCTCCGCCTGTGCAACAGCGCAGACGACCAAAGTTCAGCCGAGTTTCTCCAAAATTGATACTCTCCAGTCGATCGCGGCCCCTTGAATTTGAAACCGACATTTAAATTTTGCAAGGTACTTAAAATAAAGCCCCTAGGACATTTTCAAAAAAAATGCCTCCAAATTTTTTGATTAATTATTTTTGTCGGAGAGAAAAATCGACGCTTAACAGAAATGTACTACAATTTTCATGATTTTTTTTCCATAATGAAGTGTGTTGATCAGAAACAGATCTTCAAATTATGTTATGTTCAATCTTTCTGTAATAGGAGCATTTTTTGCAAAATTGTGTCAAACAAGATATTTTTAACCCATTTGTACTTAAAAACGGCACCAAATGTTTTTGATTAAATTTTCACCTCGTATGGCGATAAGAACGCCTAAGAGAGTAGTGCAGGTATCATGTTCGTTGAAATACCTCATTTTTTGAACTGCAATAATTTTTTATTTTTTTGGCGTCTTTCTACAACTACAATTGGGAAAATACAATTTTATTTTTTTTAATGGAATGTTTTCATCAAAAACATATCTTTGAATAAAGTCATGTTCAATTTTTCGAAAATATAACTTTTTTGGGTAATTTTGCGCCATAGTCGCCCTTTCGAGAGTTACTTACAGGCAGTTAGATGCCTCGTCAGATGGAATTTGTATAATATTTCATATTTCTTTCTTCGTTTCTTGCATTCGAGCTTTTGTTATACATTTACAATTTAATATTTTAGAAATGATTTAAAACCTATTAAACAACCTATTAAACAACATTTTTTGTCAAGGCATTTGCATTTTCAACATACTAATGTATTTTCTTTCAGAAAATACCCAAACTGTAATTAAAATTAATACATTGAGATTTCTTTATTAAAAATTCGATTCTGATGTTCATCAGGTGAAAAATCTCACCTGATGTTCTAAGAGTTGCGGTGAGTTTTATAAAAAATGACTGAGATGTAGTTCAGATTAAAATTGCGATAAAATAGTATTACGCAACTGTAGTTTAACCTTCACACAACTTTTGTCATTTGGTTTTGGGGAACTTAACCATCTCTGGAGGCACCTAGTGACATACTTAATCTTGGATTAGCACAACGAAGGGAACTTATTGAATGATAGCTGATTACTTCTAGGATTGCTAGGTCTTCTTTTAAATAAGTAGCAGACAAGCAGGGGGGAGAGGGTAGTAATTTTTTGAAAAATAATTTAATTCTATATTCTTTTACAAACATTTTAACTTGTATTAGAATAGGCTGTAACAAAAATGCATATTAGATCTTTGCCTCATTCTTACTTATGAAAATAATGCGAAAAAAGGGGACTGTCCACTCCAATTATAGATACCTAGCAACCATAATTATTTCATTATCCAAGGTATTTATGTATTATTTTTATTATTAATGTCTTTTATTGAATTTACACATTGCAACTCTATTTCACATTTTATATAGTTTTAAGCAGTTTTTCTTTATTCTCTTTATAATAACCCCCCCTGAAAATGTGAGAAAGTTACTTTTTTGTAATAGTCTTTTTAGGTAAAAACTAATTAAATTGTATAGTGGCCTGTATTTACGATAAGTTTCTCAATGCAAACAAAGGAAATATGAATAATTGACTATTTCATTTGTGGCAATTTAAGAAGTGTTTAAAACCAAATATTTCTAAATTTCATAATTAATGAACACTAGTTAGGAAGGTAAAGAAAACACATTTTATTAATAAATATTTTAATAATTTATATTTGATCTTTCAAATACAAATTGAAAGACACGGTTTGGAAACACCATGGATATTACATCATACACATTAATGTATAATACAAGATTCACTCCAACATGAACGTACAAATGCTACACAGCACACATACTTTTAAATGCCTGAGTTTAAAAATGGTAGTATTAATTCTGGCTTTACCAAATGTAGAAGACATTTTGATGCCAGACAAAAACAGCAACACAGGTATTTCAGTCAGCCTGGGAAGCATCTATTGTATTACTGAAGAGGACTCAATTTTTCTTGTTCTACAGCTGCAAATCAGCTATAATACATTTGTGCTAGATGCAGCATGATATTTAACACAATACAGAAACGTTAGACAATTAAAAAATTCACAGGAACATTAAAAAAATGCCAACTTGCAACAATGTTGTCATGCCTGCCTACTCGTGATTGCAGTTCTGTAAATTCAATGAGTATCTACTGGGAGACTAATTTATTGATGCTCTGTTCAACAGCATAATGCTGATGGCTATGACTATTATGAAAGACAACAAATGCTATATTAAATGAATTGGTGTCTAACAAGCAAAAACAAGTGACAAAGCAGGAATGGGGATTGCTTCAATGAAACTTGTTACTCTATGACAAGAAAGCACCAACAAATGACTACTTACTATCTGTTCCCAGTTTTATTCCTATTATTTAGTTACATTTAAAAACAGAACGACATGAATAGTGATACTATGAATTTGGAAGTTTCTTCCAGTTACACTGACCTTACTTTGGGTAACATACTTGATTACACATAACATGAACTCCAAGTGCGACAAAAAATTCACTAACAGTATTTGAAAAGTAGACATTTGGTTGGAAGCCCTTAATGTTCCTATCAGGAACTTGTGCTTTTTCTTGTCTACTGCACCACTTGTCAGGCCAACACACATTTCATTCATATTCTTGTACTCCGTCAACAGTATTGAGTATTTGGTTAAACATGACCAGTTTTGGTTAAGTGACTGTCATCTAATGGTGCAACTGTTGTGAAATTGTCCCACTCTACATCTTTACAATAAACATTCCTGACATATGTATTTGTTTGTACATGCCTGAAAACCCCTTGAACATTTTAGGAAGATACATGAATGAAATATTGAGTACCTACTTGATTTAAGTACTGACTCAAGAAACAAATTCGAATCATGTATTATTCACGAACCTTTGCATATCAGTCAGTGGAACCTTCTCATATTTAACTACCCATATGGTTACTTTAAAGAATAAATTATTCACACACTCGAGCTAGGTATAAACATTACATAAATGCTGATGCTACAGAGGATTCTGTAAGCCAATGACACTGAATACTTCTGGTACTTTCATATTCAGAACACACTGATTCAGAAATAAATTATTTGAAGGTTTCATGTACATCAAAGATGCTGTTATTTGGTTTAAAATGTATTACATACATTCAGTAAGTTTTTAAAAGGACTTGTGAATAAATTTGTAAGCCTTTATGCCAGAAACAAAATTTAACTTTATTATAAAATAAAATAAAGTATTATTGAATTTCCTCCTATTTTAAGTAGGATTTTCTAGAAGTGAACAATCATAATACTTTAAAACCTATATAAAGATTTGTATTATTGATTTGACAATCATTCGAAACAGAATAACAAAAATACTTCTTGAGTACACAATCTTTACAGACATTTAAAATTGTTCTTGCGTTGTCCTTTAATAAAATACAGAAATATATCTACACGTTGGAACTAGGTCCATGGTAGGTGCTACTCATCTTCAACACAGAAACGATGTTATACGAAAAGCACTAACACTTGAATCACTGATAGTCAGCATTAAATGTCTTTGTAGCGCTATTGCACCCAGGACACAGGAATGAAGAGAACGTCTTGTCCGATGAATCTTTGTATGTAGGACACTAACCGCCGCTTTACGAAGTTCGCTCACAAACCCCGCCCGCGCCGAGCAGCGCCGCCTCACGCCGTGTACGGGTACTCGCCGACGAAGGCCCGCAGCGGCGCCGGCAGCGGCAGTTGCGGCGCGCCCTCCGCGGGCGCCCGGCCCGCCGCGCGCAACTGCTTGTTGATGGCGAGGCGCGCCAGGTGCTGCAGGCTGGGCCGCTGGCTGCGCTTGTAGAGCGGGCTGCGCAGCACGATGTGCGAGTACATCTGGCCGCGCGCGTCCACCCACACCTGCTCCTTGTCCCGCGGAGGCTTGTCCTCGCGGCGGTGGCGCGTGCGCTCCACGTAGTGCTCCACCAGCTGCACCACGCAGTGGAAGAGCGGCATTAGCGGCGCCAGGCGCGGCTCGGCGTCCAGCCGGAAGCTGCCGCACACGTAGTGCAGGCGCACGCTGGTGGGCCCGCGCTCCGTCTGCACGCTCAGCGAGAAGAGGAAGCGCGGGTCGGACGAGTCGCGCACCAGGAAGGTGCCCGGCGCCGTCGCCTGCAGCAGGTCCGCGCTCTCCTGCCACGACAGGCCCTCGTAGTACCAGCCCGAGGCCCGCAGCGAGCTCATGGTGGCGGCCAGCCGCTCCAGGTCCGTCTCGGACTGAGGCAGCGGGGCGCTCGCCGGCACCTGCACGTTCACGTGCACCGCCGCATGGGCGGGCCCCGGCACCGCCCACTGGAAGGGCAGCGGCAGCGAGCCCAGCGCCCGCGGCGGCCCGGCCACCGCCGGCAGGACGAAGGACAGCGGCGCCGACGGCGACGGCTGCGGGGCCAGCCCCGACGCTCCCGCCCCCGCCCCCGCGGGCGAAGCCTTCGGCGAGTCCTGCAAATAGCACTGGCGTCAGCACAGGCCATTCGTCTACCGTTCCAAACAATTTCAAAGTTCAGATTTACGCAGTGTTTCTTTGCAGTTGTAAGCAGAGACAAAGTAATCAAAAGACAGGGAACTTTCATCGCAATAAATTAGGTGCACATGTGATAACCTGACGATCAATTAAAATGGAAGCAACAAAATACAGATTGTGTTTTCGCAGCGTACACTTCATCCTTTTATCTTGAACATACTAACGAATGAACACAATCCATTATTAAAAGACGGTTCCATTTTAGACTCTGAAAAATCGGATTTTACTTTTTATTGGCGCAAGAATTCATATAAAGGCTTTGTTGTTGCGCATACTGACCACGGCGAGCGGGTGCTGCTGCAGGACGAGGCCGCCCCCGGCCATGCCGGCGAGCGCCCGCAGCGGCGGCTCCGACGCCGTCACCGCCAGCGTGCACGTGGTGGGCACGGCGCTGGGTGGCAGCTGCAGCGTCGCTGACAGCAGCAGCGGCGGCGGTGGCGGCCCCGCCCCCGCCCCCGGCGCCCCCGCCCCAGGCGGCGGAGAGTGGTGGGGGAGCGGGTGGTGGTGCGGGTGGGGGGCAGGCGGAGACGGGTCGTGGGCAGAGCGGCTGCTGACGCAACATGACGACGACAGGGGGTGGTCGAAGACGTGGAGGCAGTTGGGGCAGGTCGTCAACATGGCGCCATACCAGCGCCGAGCCGTCTCCAGCGGGGTGACTCTGCAAGCAAAATAGCGAGCCCTTAGTGCATTGCTGATAAGGTGCACATACAATAACGTCTAATGCAATTCGACATTGAAAAAGAACCAGTAGACTGAATGTGGGCCAACAGCTACCCGCGGAAAGTTGCAGCTCGAAGCGTGTTTCAAGAGCATACGTCTTGCGAGGAGACAGCGGTTTGCTTCCCGGCATGCAAACGCTCCGTAAGCGGTCCAAGTTAGTACCGGCTTCTAAAGTATTGACTCCTAGAACGTACCTCGCCGGGTCGCTGCCACCACCCCAAGGGGGGAGGGGGGACGAGACGAAAAAAGTTACGATCCTTGCGTGCAAGCCGACCATGAGAATATAAACAACCGATCCCTTTTCTGTTCACATCGAATCACCTCCGCGTTCTCGAACCCCGTTCCGTTTATTGTGCGGTTCGCGGAACCAGGCAGCTGTTTTCGGCCTCTAGTGGTTCGTGATGGCCGTGGAAGTTGCGAGAGCGGCCCCCAGATACCACCAGCAGTCCGTCTGGGCCCGTGCAGGTTAGTCCAACCCGCACAGCGCTCGTGCACGAAGGGTTGCCTAAGTAGTAGGGTTATGGCTGTGGAGCACGCAGGTGCGAAACTAGCGTTCGTAGCCTTCGAACAGCACATCCAACTCAGAGTGATTCAATGCAACATTGACGATCGAAGGAACTTGTCTCGAGAGTCGCGTGAATTGGTCCCGCCCACCAACGTCCGTTAAAGAGCTGGCGCCAATGTTCTATACTTAATAATCTAATCTTAACTCGGCCATTGTACGTTTGACATCCGTTATTTTAGTCTGTATTATCTTGTCAATACTTGTCTACGATAAAACGTCAAAACATGAGATGGGCGGCGAGAAACTTCCGATTAGTCCCAAAGCGTCACCCTGCACGCGTTGAACCCCAATTTTCTGCCTAAAAACCCCTGGCTCTTTTTGAAGCATCCTCTGCCAGCTCTTCCTCAGCGACGGGAGCGGCGCCGGCGCCCGCTCGAAATAACGCTATCTCTTCGGCGAAGAGCGCGGCCAGAAAACGCCGCTGTCGCGCCTGACGTCAACACACTCGGCGCATCTGGCGTTCCTGCGTTCGATTCCCGGAATCGCCGCACGCGCACGCGGCCAACTCTTCGCATTTAGAGTCGCCACCGCCTATAGATAGAGCGCCGCTTCTCGGAACGACGGCTCGCCCTCGTCAGAATGCGATGCGCGCGAGTTCTGGTCGAGGGTTATCTGTCAAGCGGTGACAGGTCGTTTGATCTCGCGCATTTCGATACATCGGCCGTGTTTAGTATTAGAACCGAATATGGACATGAAGAGAAATTGGAACGGACATCTCGTGGACCACCCACCGCACAAAGCTGAATTTCTGCGAATTTCCTCACACGTCACATATTACGTGTTTGCGCGTTAACTAGTTGCTGCACTCCACCAAAGTGGGCACTTCCAACCCCACAAAGGCGAGCTTCAGAGCCTTACGCTGTTGAGTCTAAGCCATAATTACGTACGAAGAACAAAAAGACAATGATACTTGAATTCCCGAAGGTCCCGCCGGTTGTCATACAAGGAATTAAACCAGAGAAGCCTCTTAAAATAATCCTTCTTCGAAACGGAGATCATACATATGCAGTTTGAATTTTGTGCAATGCACTGAAACGTATCCCGCAACGCTCTCGCGAAGAATTAGACATTTCTAGAATCTACAGATCAGTTTGTTCGTAAACCACATGACAAAGCCTCCCTTTACAAAACCATGTGGCGAATGATCAGATACGCTCGCAGGTCGCGGGCAAACATTGCGTGAAGTCGCAGTCACGAATGGAAACTATTCATTTGGCGCGGATGTTCGCCTCGCGCTCTCAAAGCCGCCTCGGAAAGTTGGCGACGCAGACCTCTCGAGAAGCAACACTGTCCACACACCCCGGAGCGGAGAACCGTTGCTTACTGCGTTCGTTCTCTGTGCGTCTCGGAAGACCACCAGCCTCGCCCGACTCGCCCGCGCCGTGACGGGACGGGACGCTCCCGAGAACGAGCGAAGCTTCTCGGCCCCGCCGCCGCCCCCGCCCGCGCGCACTCTTCAGAGAAGCGCTGGCGAACGCGCGCCTCGTCGCCCGAAAGCGCCGCCGCGCAGTCGCCCTGCTGCCGATCGCCGAGAAACAAGGCGCTTTCAAGCCACCTCCACCGAACGCGAATGCCCGTTGACATTTGAAGGCTTCTGACAGATCATCCAATCGGGAGCTTCAATACCAAAAATTCAAGTCGTACCGAAGCTCCTGTTTGGATAATCGCGTCAAGCCCTATGACCTGTCATAATTCAGCAAAATGTCACAAGTCACTATATTATAATCAGACATGTGCGTTTAGGTTCTTTCTGACGATTCAAGCAGACAGAACTGCTTGTGTTTGAAGTTCATTTTACGACTGGTCATGTTTACAAACTTAGTTTTCAGGTTCTTCATCGGTGTCTTCAGTGCCGTTATGGCGATAAAGATAACTGGCCGGATATCTATGTAAATGCATACTTTTAATTTATAATTATTTATGCATACTTTTAACTTTTTTAATCGTTGCTTGGAAAATAATCACTTATCTTTACGAATCGCTGATTTAGAGTATTCCTGACGAATTTTATTTTGCAATTTTTGCATATTCAGCCTTATTTTTTTCGGTTAGCGTCTACTGTCGCGGACTCGAATGAAGCACCAACCCGCGACGGACGCGCTTCCCGTGCCTGTCCGGGGTCATTTTCTAGCAAGCGAGAGCATGCGAGGGCATCGCCGCAGCAAGTGCTCTCTGTCGTTGGTGGGGCTCCTCGCAGAGAGCGAACAGCCCGTAGGAACACCGCTCGCTCACGGGCCGTGTCTTGTTATACATTTCAATGTTGTACCTAAATATAGAATGCTCTTTGGTCATTGAATTTATGTTATTTTTTTCTCAAATCTCCTTATGATATAGCTTATTTTTAAGAATTTTTACTGCATTGAAATCCGGGCTCTAGAAATTACAATTGGGTGTATTTCTTGTTCATTTTAGACTGACGGAAGCTTCTTAAAAAGTATAACGAGCCCAGAAAAAGGATCGAAAAATATGACATGACCCAGGATCGAAAAAATTGAAAATATTCAACAAATATGTTTAACAATGTTAAGTTGAACTACATACAAGTTGACTGACAATGGTGATTTAGACTACTATAAATATAAGCGGTCAATCCGGATAGTCGAGATTGCTAAGGCAGTTTGTGATCGAAGGATCGCGGTTTCGAGTCCCGTCTCAGGCATAGATGTGTTTGTGATCATCCCTTCACTTCATTAAAAAGGATTAATAAATCCCTGCGCGAGCAGGAGGTCCTGCCCTTAATGGGATGTGCACTTGGCTAAAAAACAAAATGCTATTTACAGTCGCATGTGTCAACGAATTTTGAAATTAGCAAGTGCTAGTTCGTTCCGAATTTCATCTGGTGTGACATGATACATGGACAAGCGAAGAAACCCAGAAAATGAACATCCATTAGTAATGACCGCGAACGACAGCTCGGAGCGAGCAGCGCCCAGTCGCTACTACGAGCATGGCGATCGAAACGGAGTGTTGCCTCTCGGACGAGGAGAGGGTCGCCGGCGCAGCGAGGGCAGGCGGCGGCTGACGAGGCGACGCGACGCGACGCGACGAGGGAGCGCTCTTCTTGGGCATTCGCATTAGACCGTTTGAATCCATTTTCAGTCGTTCCAGTCATTTCGCCTAAACAATTTTCTCGAAAAATATAGAATGCTTTATTCATAGCGGCCGAGTTTCAAGAATTTTCTGGCACATCAAGACTTTTTACGACTCTCGTACCAAATTCTCGGATTGCGCCATCAGTGTAATTTCGTCTTTATTTCCTTCACAAATAACCCTTGAGTTAACTTTTGTTCTGGTACACATTATTATACTTGGAAAATCAGTAGGGAACCTGACTTTTTTAAATATCTCGCTAGCATTACAAAGTAAAAATCGCGGGCGCCCATTGCTCCTAATGAACTCTCTGCTTCCGCACAAAATGCATGGACATTTCGGAAACTAAACAAATGTGTTGTTACGTCATAATATTTCATTTAATTTCAAGAATACAATTTGCTCCCTTCAAATTCGAAGTCTCATTAGTTATTCACTGATTAGTGTACAGTAGTTTTGACTGAACTCAGATTTCTTTTTACTTTTTATTCGTATTTCGTGATAATAGAACTAAGGTCAAATATCGTACATTACAGTTAGATAAATACTGATATATTTAAGGTACAGTTCTCATAAAAAGAGAAATCTGTTCTGGAAAGAATCTTGCGCGCGCTTTCCAATTCACAAAAATAAGGCCAACGTAACCCCATGGCCTCGCGCCTCCAGACGTGGGGCTCTGAGGCGCCCTCCTCCCTTTCCTTCCGCTATCTTTCTGGCGCGAAATGCGATATAGCAGGCAGCCTCAAGGAGACGTTGCACAAACACTCTGAGGGGTCGACTCTTCGGGTGGCGCTGGTTCCGGGAACCGATTTCCGCGCCGCAGAAGGAAACTGACGCGTCAGCCGCACAAACGCCCGGAGGGGCCGGCCACGCTCGGCCGGCCACGCTCGGCCAGCCGCCTACCGGACCTCGCGGCGGCGCAGGTGCTCGGAGGGGCAGAAGCAACGGGCGGCTGCGGTTGGGAAAACTGACCCCGAAAACTTTTTCTCAGCGGCTCGCGTTGCATTTCGCATGGTGCGGCTCGATCCACGGTGAAGCACGGTGTCTCTAGACACAAAGGTAACGGCAATAATACTCATGTAGAGCACGAAAAACAACGAGCCTTCTCCTAATCTAACAGACAAGTCTTATTCCAAGAACACATTTTAGTATCGGCAATCCCTTTTTTCAGCTCATACGTTCAGAAAATGATCAACTCGATAGTATCATAGAACGAAGAATCGAAAAAAGTAAACAAAGCAGCGCAACCCCACGCGCTTTCTCACGCCCTCCCATTTAGAAGA